TGAATGTTTAGGGTCTAAATGAAAACGCGAGTTCCGCTAATATGGTATAAGGACATTTCATTCTACCGAACTACACACAAGTGCTGGATTAAAACTCACACAGGTCAGTTTATTAGACAAATTGGGGTTGTGTGTTGGTTGTGTGAGACTAAGCATGTTAAGCTAGATCAACATTAGAATAACCTACAGATCATATCATATTTTAACATTTAATCATGTTGAACTAACATTGATTAGTTTTATGTACATTTGCTCGCCTGTCTAATAAAGTATATACATGCAACACTCGCGTTTCCATCAAGTCGAAGTTAGTCGCAAATGTGGAGCTCTCGGCATCTCGAAAGATGTTGATCTTCGTTTTAGTCCTCTTCGTCTCAAAGTCTGCTTGCCATGGTCGATAACGCATGAACAATACAACAACAGTGTGAGCGTCCTGCTAGGCATAACCCAGTTGTCAGCGTTTGTCGTCATGGTTACTATGGCAGTACGAGGTCAAACCTGGCGGAAACCGGGGGAAGCGTGGATATGACGCCATTGATTGGCGACAAGTGGTTTTTGGATATTTTACTACATAAAAAATCCTACATATTGTAGCTTTAACTATCCACCTTATTCCATGACGCTTTGCGTGAATTATGGGTCTAACTTCCATTAAGCTGTAAAAAATAAGTGAAAGGCTCGCTCTATGATCGCCATACGTTAAAAACGTGTCACAATGAGATGACATTAATCGACTCACCCTTCAACTATTGAACATTAACAATGAAATCTAAAAGTTTAAAAGAATCAACAAGGTACTTTCAACAGACCAAAAATAGCCCCCAAAGCGCGAGTCTTTGGTTAAATATCACTGTAGTAGGCAAATATATATCTGTATAACAAGCCTTAATCAAAAAATGCTCATAATTGCATTACGTGACACTATATCAAAGTGAGTTCCGTCATTTTGACAGATTATAAATTGCATAAAAATTAAAAACAAACCTGGAAAGAGACGTGAGGATCTGAGGAGAATTGACAGCTCATCCAGTAAAACTGAATCAGCTTTATTTGTAGGGCAACCTTATGATTTTAAATGATTGTTTTAGCCTTTTTGAATAGAAGTTCCCCAAACCGGAAGTGCCACCCATAATTCAAAATGCAGTAAGGTCTTCAGGAATAAGGTGGATACCAGGCAAGTATGCCCGTGGCAAAAGCGTTTCGACATGATACGTGACAACAGGTTAAAACAATGCCCACCCACACAGATTCAAACTCTGATGAGGCTGTTAAAACGACTTATGAGATGACAACATGATTACATTTTTCTCACTGAGTCTGAGAGTGGAAGCACGCTGACATTTATACAGGCAAACTGAAGTGATAGATTGAGGTCAGACAGAGAACTGCGTCTTAGTTTGTCGCATTTTCAGCATGTGTTGATCCATCTGGAGTTGTGGAGGCTGTATAATCAGCACAAGTCACAGAAGCATGTGCCGAGGTTGTGGGAGCAGGAAATGTGCAATGTGCACCATGCTTTTGCATAGTCAAATAACAACTCACTCGAATAAACATTTTTGGTCCAATAAACATCACGGTTAACTCACAAACTGAGAGGAGTTCTTATGCGTCAGAACAGCCTTGGAGCTCTAAATATTCATGATATTTTTTGCACTAAATCAATAGTCAAATGAAAAGGCATCTAATTAATAGGCTACTTATAATCATCTTTAAAAATATCTCTTAAAGGGATACTTCACCCAAAATTAAAAATCGGTCATTATCCCTGATGTCGTTCAAACCTGTATGACTGGCATCGTTCAGTGGAAAATATATTTTGAGAAATGTTTTTTTTCTTTCTTTCAAATTGACACTTCAAAAAGTTCATAAATCATAAAAACCCTTATGAATTGACTAAGTGGTTTAGTCCAAATGATCTGAGGAGACACGTTGCTTTATATGATGAACAGATTGAATTTAAGCTTTATTCACATTAAAAAAATAATTAAATGGACACATCAGTTATGATAAACGTAAGCTCAATGTTTGCTTGATGTGCGCGAACCAATGAGGTTCATTCTCATGTCATCAGACAATATGTAGCCTAGTGTGAATAAAGACTCAAAGGGATTCTTTAAAAAAAAAAAAAAAAAGTCTATAAACCCTGCTCAGCATTTATTGTGATATCTTGTCAATTACTTACAATGCCAAGCCATTTTAATTAGGTGTTGATTGCTGTTTGCTTTACAGTATTAGGCTATTGTTGAAATAAATACCCTAGAAATAATGAAAACATGCCCAGTGGGAAATATGCCACTTAAAACCGTTTTAGGAGTTAGGGATTGTGCAAGTGCTCTTAAAAATTTGGATGGATACCCAAAATAAATAAACTCACTTACCTCAGCTAGATGTCCTGTGTTTCAGCTGAGGCCTTGAGAGGCTCTTTCACACATTGGGCCTACAGTGTGGAAGCATACACCGCAATGCAACAATGAGTTCAAATCTCTTGGTCAAATTGACTACTTTTACAGTTTTCAAATACCTTTGAGGCAGGCAGTCCCACATTGATTCCACACAACCTCGGCCAAGCTGAAGAAATACTGCAGTTGCGACTTAATTCGACAATTACAACTTGAAATGCATTACTAATGAGCACAGAGCGGCTTCCAACTTCCAAGGGAGAAAGAAAAATTAATTAAACGCGACTGTACTTCGTGCTCACACTTGTCATCTTGTATCTCGGCCTTTTCAGCACCCTCGCAGCACACATAGCGAGAAGCCTGTTCCAATTAACAAAGAAAGTTGTCAGGCCTTTGATTCGCGCTTGGTTTCTACGCGTGGTACCCGCCCGCGAAACAACAGGCTGTCGGGAAAACCTGCGCGCACCATTGCCTGACAGGCAAAAACCTGTGCTTATCTCCTCACAGGTTTCCCCAAGTACAGACACGCCAGGGAATATTAATTTTACATAAATACGATGAAATAACCGAGGTCATTTGTCAGAGTGCGAAACTGTCCGTGCCAAATTGTGAAACCTTTTTAAAGACTGCTAATGGTCGTGGAAATGTACTGCAATAAGCGAATGATCAAGAATGTATTGATTATTATTATTAATTAACAAGCATAAGTCAAAAGCTCTTATATCGTTACAGAATAATTTCTTTAGTGTACTCGCATTTTAGAAAGATAGCACAAGCTGACACGTGACGCGACACTAGAAAAGATGCAGAAATATCCAGTCTCTCGCCTTTTTGCTAGGTTTTTCATGATCAATTATTCAATTATATATTAAAATTAATTTCTCTACGACCAGTTTAAAGCAGTCTCGTTTTGAGACTGCTTCACTAAATATTGCGTATAGGCTTATTTTGCCTTGTTTGTAAAACAGCATCTGCAAACTCTGAAATGGGAAAATTGTCAGCACATGCCCTCTACTGGTCAAGAATTGAACTACAATTGGGGTACATGCCTATTGTATGTCCAGCTGATGTTTTTTGAGATGGGAGTGTATAGGCTATAGAAAAACATGGCATTTTCTGTTTTACAGTTAGGCTACATACAAAGGAAAATGGTTTCACTTGTCATCTGTACACTTCCACTACTGCAAAACAAAATTTTCTACTAATATTATTCTACCAATCATACAACTTATAATTGTGCCACAATAAATATTTCAGGGAAAATTGACTGTGCAATAAAAATGTTTTCAAATTACAATAAAATACTGGTGATATCAGACATTTTATTAACTCATACAATTAATGATCTGTCAAAAATAAAATAACATGCAGACGTTAAAAACAAAAGCCTTGGTGGTGTGAAAAACATGACACAAACTGGCAGCCAAACTGTTGAGGTGTAAGTAACAAGGCCAGTGCCATGAAGCAAGTCACAAACAAGGTCAAACAATGTCAAATTAGCAGCAGTAGCCAGTCACCACGCTCAGAGACCAGAATGATGGTTCAAAGTTTGAGAAAGGGAAAAATGATGTGATGTGGAAAATACAGGGCGAAGACTTCGTATAATGTGCTTTAACAGAGATAAAAACAAAAAAGGTAAAAGTATACCATCCTAGCCTGTCAAATCACTGACAAAGCCAATAGCACAACAGTTTGTGACTTATATTATTGTATTGAATAGTGTTATTGTGCATGGTCTCAATAAGCTATGTTGACACTGAAACACTAATATTGTATTTGAACACATTAGATGATATTTTGCCTCTGGCGGGTAATACTAGGCCATAGAAGGTATAAGCGAGAGACAGAGAGAGAGAGAGCATGGGGGTGAGTTTCCAGCCATTGCCGCCAGGCATGCTTTAGGTTCGTCGCGGTCCCTGTCTGTCTCTGGTCTGGTTGGAGAATTGATTCCACTCTGGGAGCTGGGCTGCAAACGGATCCCTGCATCTCTGCCTGTCTGGTCAGTGACCTCACTCTTAGAGCTGCCAGCCACTTCATTATGATGTCCAGTTTACACACCAGACAATCCTAAATGCCCTTAAAGGATTTCTGCACAACAGCAACTATTTGTCACGAGCAATATTGATTTTTGCTTGTATGTAACAATGATAATATACACTGTAAAAAATGATCTTACCAATAAGTTGACAACAAATGTTTCAACAAAATAATCAAATTTACAAAAATTTCAAGCATTTTTTTTAAAGTCAGTTCAAATTGCTTAAACATCCAAGTTGATTGTAAAAAAGTTTCTGCTTTACATTTTTACAGTGTAATGCACTCACACAAGATGAATGAAAACATGCTCACGTGCCTTGATACATTCTGTACGGTGCAAAGTAATCTTTACTTAACACATTCCTGATATGCCAAATGAATAAAAACCCATTGATAATACAATAAAACATTCACAAGATAATAAAATATCACATTTTAAAAATATCACGTATAGTACAATCAAGATTAAAACCTGAAAACAGATCAATATTATGTAGTTAAAGACCACAATGAGGTATGCTTAATGCCCTAAACATTTATTATAATCATCATAATTATCGGGGGTTTTTTTTATTTCTTCAGATGAGGTGAGGACTTTGGACCACAATTTAATGCAATCTGCAAATGCCAAAACTGCCCCTTTAATCGAAAATTCAGAATATATTTTTCTCTGTATCAGCTGCAGAATTACAATTCAAATGAGAATATAAGGAAACTTAACAACAACAAAAAAGGAAAATTAAAACATATCTAAAAAAAGATATATTATATCTATCTATAAAAAGATTTTTTTTAAGTTTTGAAGACAGTTTGAAGGTTAATAGGCCTGATTGGATGGATGGTTTTAAGCCGAAGAGTGAATTACTACAACTAAACAGTGGAGGGAGCCAAGACACCACACACACAAAAAAACAATAACAGCACATTTACAACATACTGTAGGTGTATAAAAGGTGCAAGACAAGCATGCACATATCAAACACCCCATGCCTCCTATATAAAATCCTTCCAGTCCCAACAATTAAAATTTAAGAAAAGAAGACAAATAGAAATGTTTCCCCGACATGCTTTCCGTAAAACCAACAAAGGTTTCACCCGTTTAGTGCTACTTGTGTTTCAGTGTGAATTCAGCTTAAAAACTGGAGCGGGGGGCCTGGATCTCCCGTTCCACACTGGGCATGCTGGGTGTATCCCGACAGACCAGCCTGTGGCGGAAGTGTCCGCTCAGCAGAATGTAGATGAAGGGGTTTATGCTGCTGGCGGCGTAGCTCAGGCACACGGACATGTAGTAGCAGGTGTGATACGCTAAAGAGGGCCGAGGTACGCTCAGGTTAACCAGCTGCAAGATGTGGTACGGCATAACACTGACCAGGAACACCGCTACCAGAACCAGGACCATTTTAGTGAGGCGGACCACACGCTCCCGAGGCAGGCTGGTGTTATACCTGAGAGAAAGCGGAGAATGCAAGTTTGGGTCGTACAGTATTTAGCCAAACCCTAAATCCAGGTTTATGGTGGTTACATGTTCTAGTCTAATCTAAAATCCTAAACATGGTAATTACCAACGCATTCTCATCCCAAGGCGTCATATGACACTTTTGCCAAAGCGTAGACATCCATCGTATGGGTAGGTTTAGGTATGGGATAGGGTTAGGGTTAGACCACTAGGAGGCGCCTTCTGCCCCATATATATCTGCATCTCATTTGACGCTAAGGGTGCCATGAGCGTTGGATGTCTACGCTTTGACATAAGCGTCGTATATGACTCCTTGGGATAGTCCAATGAAAAATACAAATTCTGTCATCATTTACATCCATACAAAACCTGTATGACTTTTATTCCCCATTGACTTCAATTGTATGAACAAAAATCTGTTTGGTTATCAACATTCTTCAAATTCACTTCTTTGTGTTCAGCAGAAAAAAAAGAATGCGTACAGATTTGGAATGACTTGAGGGTGATTATATGCCGACAGAATTTTCAGTTTTCGGTGGACTATCCCAGTTTATTACACTGTAAAAAAATATATATTTTCAAGATTTGTTATCACAACATTTTTTCTTTTGTCAAATCAACTTAAATAATTTATTTAGTTGATAACTTATTATTTTGAATTTCTGATGATTAAATTAATATCCTGCTTCATTGTATTAACTCACTTTTTCCAGTTCAATCAACTTAAAATTTTAAGGCAACCAGGTTACTTACTTTTTTAAGTTAAATCAACAATATTTTTTACAGTGTATGTCAATTAACAATGCAAAAAGGAATTTTACAGTTTCTGCTATTAAATCCACCAAAAACTGTCAGCATTTATGTCCACTCTTAAGTGTATTTTTTTATTTTATTTTTTTAAAGAAAACATTATAGTATTGAAGGATATTTTAAATAGAAAATTCGTATAAATAATGGTTTAGCCATAAAATCAGTATGTGCTGTCAATCTGAAATGAAAACATTTCCATGAGGAAGATAATTCTCAAAGGAGACAATCTGCTACATCTGACAACATCACACACACACAAAAAATGAATTCATATTCACTTTGCAGAAGATATTCTCTCTATGGATGGCGAATTAATATTAATGAATGCAACCAGTGTAGACCTTGTAGCACAGTAAAGCCACTTAATGGCTTCAAAAGCAATTACGTTTGTAGCTTTGACAGATTGATATCACGCACTGGCTGTAATGAATTTAAATTCACCTGTGAGCCTTTTTGTTCTTGCGATACATTCTCCAGGAGTAGCAGAGAATCAGTATGTAGCAGATGAGAATCAGAGGTAATGGCAGGAAGAAGGAAGTCACAGTCTGGTAGAGTGTGTACCTGTAGAGATCCGAGGACACATGATGTCAGTCGTGTGAGAAAAGCTTTAAAGCCTTTATATCCCCTCTCTTGGTTTAATTCACTTAGTTCAATTAAACAATCAGCCTTCTGGAAAGGCAATTTCCTGGTGAAGTGGAAAATATACTGACTGAAAAGACAGAAAAGGTTTTATGTTATTGCTTTTTGAGTGTCTAACCTATGTGCCACTTAAGTTGAATGACAGCTTTCACAGCAGATATACAAAATATATAACATTAAAAAACAGCTTTGTAGCAAAGTTCTCAAAGAGAATGCTGAAAATGGGACACACCCGAAAACCCATATTTATTGGTGTATTTGTCCCTTAGCACTTTTCAATAGAAGATTTTACAACAATAGAGTGACAAAATAACAATATTCAGAGGTCAAAGCAGAATTATGACAATAAAAATATGGGGTTATGAGAGAGGGAATAATTAGCCGTGTGCAAAAGGCTACACATTTACCAGAGCAACTCTTTATGAGAGACCAGGTTAAGGGAACAGCTCTCCAGCCCGTCTCTGAAGCGGATCACTTTGGCGTGAATCCAGGCCGGCAGAACCATGATGAAGGAGGCTGCCCACACAAACAGGTTAATACGGATCGTCCTGGATCTGGTCCTGAGACTCAACAGGCGAAAAGGATGAACAAGGGCCAGGTATCTGGAGCACATTAATGAATAAACATTAAAGATTTGACCCCTCTTCTGACTATTTCCACACTGAAAATGAGTCATTTTTTTCATTTAATTAGTTGGTTGACATTTATGAGAGGGAAAATTTAAAAATGTTTCACATTCAGCATTACCTGACATTTATAGTAAAGGACAGACAAAAGAAAAAGCAGCTGGGAATGAGCTTGGTGTTAAATCAGCTTGTGCCAACATGTGCTTTGGAATTAATTAATTCATTAATATTATCTTCTCAAACCTCGAAATAAACCTCTTTAAAACAGAAAACGAAACAGAGTCTACTGCGCATGCTGCATTGTGGGAAATGAGGATGTTCGTGGACCGGCGTCAACTGCAGCTTCCTGTGGAAATAACACATTCCTGGTCTAGTAAGTTTTTCCTCAAAATTACACATAATAATTCTGAGAGGGTTTGAATAAATGAATGAATAAAATAATAAATGAGGGTTTGAATAGGCCTGTTTTAGCGTTTTATATAACAAGAGAAGATCCTTACAGATAAGGGAAGCACACAATAGGCAATACCTTTATTTGAAGCTGCTCTAATGTTGTTGTTTTTTCTTCTCGACTAATTGAAATTACTAATGCATCTCAGGTTATATTTTCCTGTTGTCATTTGTTCATTTTGATATTTCGCTTTGGATCAAACTGCTGTTCTCAAATGTGCCACATAAATGAATAATCTGGCCTGCTCTTTAATTGTGGTAAGAGTGGCCTCTAGTGGGGATGTTACAGTATAGCAGCTCTAAATGAAACACCAATGTACTTATTTGCTACATAAAAACATTACTGTACTACCATCCACAGTTCAAAAACTGTTTGCTATTCCCAATGGAAAAGCTTAATTAAACCCAGAGGAACCTTTATCAAATATAGCACTAACACAATTCAGTGACACTATTCAATCATTAACTTCAGACATTAATTTGAGAATCCAACATTTGCCTATACATAAAACAAAATATGAAATCAAACTTTTGTTACTCAAAAATAGATAAAGCCCTCATAACAACTTCTCCGTGTGACAGTCTGCCTCAGATTTGTCTATCTCCTTCCTCTTCTTCTAAGAACTCATAACCTGAGCTGTTGCTTTCGGAAGAGATTAAACGTAACTTTTGAGTTAAAAGAATCAAGCAGAAAATCAACAGAGAGTCAGCAGATATGCTTGGTGTTAAAGATATAGCCTTTAAGCATTTCTTCTTGGCAGACACAGATCTAGCTTCAATGGCAGGAGAGAACAATATATCAAAGAAAATACAAAAATGATCAGACAGTGTGTGTAGAGAATGAAGAGAAGGAAAAGGAAAGTGAAGGTGTAGTTCGAGAGAACCTTTGATTATTTAGCATCACCCCAGCCTAAGGAATTAGACCTTGTTTTGTACGTGATGGCCATACAAAAAAATTGTCCCGTCCGTGGTTTAAAAATGTGTTGTTGTGGGTGATAGGGATGGCCTGGATGAGTGTGAGATGCCTGAATTTGTGTCCCAGTCCAGCCCATGGTCTATGAATGCACTTTTGGCTTCACACGCATCAATGCACTTGGATGAAAGTGTAGTGGATGAACACTTGTGCATTGTTATTTTTGATAAATAAAAACACTTGTTTATTTTAATAAAGCTAGTTATCTGGAAATAATGATTTCCTTTCAAACATTGTTATTTCACTGATCACGTACCTGTCAAGACTCATAGCGGTCATGACTGCAGCGCACGCCACCTGGTTGCAATTATCAAGAGAGGTGATGATCGTGCAGAGGGTGCTGCCGAACACCCAGTGCCCCCCACGAGCCCACTGGTGAATGAGGAATGGCATGACGGTCACGTGGACCAGGTCGGCCACAGCCAAGTTTCCCATATATACATCTGGTACTGTTTTTTTGGCTGACCTACAAAAACATACAAGAAAGAACTTGTGATCTGTGGTCCCTTGGTGAGAAACCGCTAAAGAAATAACCAGGGAATGTGATGGAAACATGACAAGTTGTAAGCAGGCAGCAATAAAGTGTTTTATATAACCTTCAGTGAGTGACAGGAGTATGAGGATGGGTCATGGCTTATTTCCTGAGAGAATCCATCAGGAATTCCTATAGCAAATCAGAAACGAGTATTCAGGCAGACCATAAGTAAATAAAGATGATGTTTTTTTTTTTTTTGTGAATTAAATCAATGAAACAATTTCATTGATCTAATTTAAAAGAACAGTGGCAAACAAAATGTAACATTTCTTCAATCAGATATTGTGCAAATGAATTTTTTTTTATTTAAATCAAATGAAATTAATATTATTGCTAAATTAATATTAATAATTTAATATTATTATAAAATTAATTGCATGAAAAATGCACAGTGACACGTTCCCATTTAGTGCTTATTTTAATAAAGCTATAGGCTATTCAATTATTAAAGCTAATAAATCATTATCTAACAAATCATAACAATCACTAAATTATTAAGCCTTCATAAACATGTGTTAGTATACGTTATCACATTACTTTTTATTGCCTAAGGAATTTGGCATGTTTATTTACTAATTACCTTGAGTGCATTCATATATGTAGAAAGAGAAAACCACCATTCAAGGTTATTCTGAAACTATGCCTGCAGAATTTCAGGAAAGTGGTTATCTAGCTTATGCCAATAACGTATTTAACATGTCATGAAGTAAATGTAGGCTATTTAAAATACATAAACAAATGCATAATAACTTAATTAAAAGCAGAAGCAAAATAGTGAGGCGTCCCTATCAACCTGTAGCCTAAACCCACCTTAAAATAGTGACCAAAACAAGAACATTTCCAACAAGCCCGGTGGAGCACAGAAATCCAATAAATGCTGGAAGGATTTTGGTTTCCGTGACGTGAACAATATTATAATGGTCATCGGCTGGATATCCTGCTGATGTCTCATTAGCGCGCGTGCCGTTGTCTAATTTGAGCGTAAAGTTCCAAACAACTGGTTCCAACTCCACCATGGCGTTCATCATTCGCGTTTCATTCTGATCGACGAGAATGTGCTGAAATACGGTAACGTCAAACGTACAGTAGCCTAGTTGTACGTCCATGGAAGGTCCTCGTGGGTTTCAGCATCCTCATCATAACCTACCAGACAATGCGCATGGTGTTTCCACTCGTACAGCGCGCGCACGCAGACACCTTGTGAACATCAGAGAAAACATATCAAAAAACATTCGAAAGATATCATTTATGTTTTACATTTTTAATCAATTCAAATTTTACTCATGTTGCATTTATCATACATTCATACATTCCCTGACAATTCTGGTAATTCTGCAATTATGTTTGAACTACAAAAAAGAAAAGAAAAAAGAAATCATCGCCTGTACCGTCTATGAAAAATGAGCTCATACCACAGAATACCAATAAAATCACTCTTTTGGATGAGGAAAAAAAACGATTTAATCATAGGCTATTCCTTTGCATGGTTCTACCTTTTTAAACTAAAGAGCAATAATGAAAAGTAAACGGTGCTATCGTAGGCTGCCTTGGTTACACTTAAAAGGAAGACTGATAAACGCCTTGATGGAAGAGATGTGAATGCTTTGGACTTCAATACTCTCGATCAGGTTTTCAAGATCGGCTGGAATAAACTCTGTCTGAATGCTCATCCTAATTTGTTATAGTTTTACAGGCCTACCTAAATTCATCTTTTGAACAATGTGGGAATTATATCTTTTATTGTCTTGCGATTATAGCAACCTCCGGTCAAACTTGCTAATTTTCATAAGCAAGACTTGGAGGCCTGTAAGCTTGCCTTTCTGCCACAATGTTTCCCCTCATAGTAGCAGTCCATTCTCACCCCCAAGGCGTCACCTGGGGCTGCAACAATCAGAATGTGCTGCATGGGGAAAAAAAAGAAAAGAATTGGTTTGAAAAAGGTGTAGTTTTTGTTTTGGATTTGTTAAAGAAAGATGCCAGCTTGTATGCTGAATTTATTGACTTTTTTGGAGTGGATTCCTCACCTAAAGTTTATGACTGGGTTATAAATTCTATTTCACCTAAACTTTTGCATATGGTTAGGTAGCCTAACAGAGTAACATTTGTTATCTAACAACAAGTGGAAAGTGCTTCACTTTAAAATTCTACATAACCATCCCTGTAACTCTCTTCTTTCTTAAATTAGAAATCTCTTCACAGAACACATTCTGTAACTCTAATCTTAAAACAATACCACATTTTTAAAAAAGTAGCCTGGCTTATTTCTATGCTTAGAACAAACATTTTACTTTTATTTTTTTTCTAATGTACTGTTTGATATGGGACTCTAGGTCAAAATGGATGACAGATTAAAACTGCTAACTCCATGTGGCCAGTTTCATCTTCATAAATGTAAAGTCACTGATTCTAAGCCCAATTTTAGGCTTTTTTGTGTTGATTTAAAGTTATTTTATGACTCCCTTTGTTTATCAGCAAACAAGAAAGCTCTAAAAATTCTCTGTTGTTTAAAAACAAAAATGGTTTCATTACAAGTTACCTCCTGATTTTCTGAAGATTACCATTTTTTTATTATTTTTGTCTTTCCCATGTTATTTATTTCTATTTATTTTTCATTAATGTACTGTATGTTTAATTTCTATTGCTTTAAATGTTTTATAAATATTTTTCAGTAGACTATCGCTTACTGTATGTACATTACTGCCTTGCTTTATACCTTGAGTTTCTTATCCTATTATTTGTGAGATCCATGTTAATAAAAAAAAAACTTGGTTATTGTATGGTGTGACATCAGTGCGCCTTAAACTATCTATAGAGTGAAGCTCTGAAAGAGGCAACAACTGTCCTCTAACAAGAAATGCATATTTTACCATTTTAACATTTGCTTTGAAAATCAATAAAGAAATAACTGCGCCTAGATCATATGAAATGACAGGCAGAGTCAGACAAACTTATTTTGAGAATATTAAAAAATGAATCAAAGCCTTTTATATTAGAATCCTTAGAGGACTGTAGACTTCTCCAATGTAAGATCCTTATATTTATTTCGATTTCTTTTAACATTTATCCCATGCAGCCAACAGCTACAGTATTTTATTGTCCGTTATTACTCTATTGTGTTTGGTTTGTTTTATACTTCTTCATTTGTACAGCACAGTGGTCAGCTTTGTTGTGTTTATTTGTGCTTTATAAATAAATTAAATGAAAATGAAATGAAGGTAAAGAATGCAGCCTTGTATTATTATTAAATTATGATACATCAGAAATCATCAATTTTTTTACTCCTAAAGGATGTTCCAGCAGCACACATCTCAGCACTTGATAAAATGTGCAACAAATTGCAGAAGTGAGATATAGTGTTACATGTCAGTTTGTTTCTGGATTCGGTTCTTGTTTTTATTTGGTTTGAGTTGTTCTCAGTTATTTCTCAAAAAAATTGTGCGCTTTCCTTACCAGACCAAACCGTAACATATAGTCCCAGCGAAGGTAAATGCGGTAAAATGATCCGATTCCCTTATTAAACACTCTTTGGCCTGCAATGCACAGATGCTTTCAAATGTTCAAATGATACATTTTGCTGGAGACGGGGAAGAGTGAGAGCTTTACCAATATTGATTAAGATAAACTAAATATACTGTTTTTGCCAGATTTTATTGCTAATTTTACATGTTATCAAAGTGTATCTCGACAGAAATTTCATACAGATCTTGATATGAAATGTTTTTGTTTGACTTTTAAAGAAAGCTGTCGCTGCACTGTAAAAAAAAAAAGTATTTTCATGATTTGTAATCGCAACATTTTTTCTTTTGTCAAATCAACTTAAATAATTTATGTAGTCCAGATAACATAATATTTTGAGTTTCTAATGGTTAAATCAATCTCCTTCATTGCATTGACTCAATTTTTCCATTTCAATGAACTTAAAATTTTAAGGCAACCAGGTTACTTAATTTTTTAAGTTAAACCAACAATATTTTTTTACAGTGTGCTTTTAAGGTACTTTGTTCAGTAACTTTGTTTTCACACAGAAAAAATACCAAAATTTGGGTTCATTTTAAAGGTGCTTGATAATTAATGGCTTTATAAGGCACAATACTTTTTATAGCCCAACATGAACAGTTCATATAATGATCAGTGCTGTATATGCATCCTGAAGTGCATATGGATGGTAAATCGTTTAGAACTTCCATACAGTTACAGTGTAAATGACATACTCTCACAAAACTACAATATAAATGGTATTTTATTAAGGCTAGTTTTGGGTTACAGTACTGTTTGTAGATAATCATTAAAATCCTGTCAAGATCACATTTAAAACAGAAATGTCATTTTATAAATCTCATTCTGGTCTGATTATTTTGGCTTGTCACAGTTTGCACGTTTGGACCTTCATGGCATTCTCAGGCCAGCCGTACGAGTCCACCGCAAACTCGTCGTAGTCTGTGCTGTAGATGAGCGAACGAACAAAAGCCTCTTTATCGTGCGGCTCCGGGTGCAGTGTTGCCATTTTGTGTTTATAGGCGTACTCCACAATCTGTCATAATGCACATAAAAAATTATTAAAATGTGTAAATAGCGACATGCATGAATCACGGCTGTGGCTTGAGATGTTATAGAGTCAAGCTCACCTTAACAAGCCAGCTTGAAGGAAACATCCCGAATGCTTTTGAGAGGAGGATACAGACGTCCCTCTGCAAGATCCTTCTCAGTCACCAGTTCTGCTATAGTCTATAAACACAGCACAAACTGGTGATTATTATGGACTTAATGTGTGGACAATATATGTCTAATAACACCGTTTGTGTACACGGACAAAGAGCATGAACCTAATTATTTCTTGTTTGTTTTTCTGATAGACCTGCATTAAATATTCATCCCAGCCGTCCCACTGGATACCTGGATAGTGTAGGCAGTAATAAGTGGTTTTTTTCTTGCCTGAGATCAGATCAGCCAAATCCATACCCACCAATATAAACAAACAACAGACTCATTTTTTTTTTCTGGCCTGTGTTGGTAACTAAAAATAAGATGAGAAATGTAATAATTTAAAACTAAAAATCGAATCTAATTTAAATAAATCTGAAATGAAATAAGAAATATTATCAAAAGCGAATTCAAAATATGATTCAATTTCTAATACTGTACACTCACCTAAAGGATTATTAGGAACACCATATTAATACTGTGTTTGATCCCCTTTCACCTTCAGAACTGCCCTAATTCTATGTGGCATTGATTCAACAGAGTGCTGACAGCAGTCTTTAGAAATGTTGGCCCATATTGATAGGACAGCATCTTGCAGTTGATGATTTGTGGGATGCACATCACGGGTACGAAGCTCCCATTCCACCACATCCCAAAGATGCTCTATTGGGTTGAGATCTGGTGACTGTGGGGGCCATTTTAGTACAGTGAACTCATTGTCATGTTCAAGAAAACAATTTGAAATGATTCAAGCTTTGTGACATGGTGCATTATCCTGCTGGAAGTAGCCATCAGAGGATGGGTACATGGTGGCTAAAGGGATGGACATGGTCAGAAACAGGCTCAGGTAGGTCGTGGCATTTAAACGATGCCCAATTGGCACTAAGGGGCCTAAAGTGTGCCAAGAAAACATCCCCCACCCCATTACACCTCCACCACCAGCCTGCATAGTGGTAACAAGGCATGATGGATCCATGTTCTCATTCTGTTTACGCCAAATTCTGACTCTACCATCTGAATGTCTCAACAGAAATCGAGACTAATCAGACCAGGCAACATTTTTCCAGTCTTCAACTGTCCGATTTTGGTGAGCTCTTGCAAATTGCAGCCTCTTTTTCCTTTTTGTAGTGGAGATGAGTGGTACCCAGTGGGGTCTTCTGCTCAGTTGTAACGAGTGGTTATTTTAGTCAAAGTTGCTCTTCTATCAGCTTGAATCAGTCGGCCCATTCTCCTCTGACCTCTTGCATCAACAAGGCATTTTCGCCCACAGGACTGCCGCATACTGGATGTTTTTCCCTTTTCACACCTTTCTTTGTAAAGAAAGAAATGGTTATGCGTGAAAATCCCAGTAACTGAGCAGATTGTGAAATACTCAGACCGGCCCATCTGGCACCAACAACCATGCCAC